CGTCTCGTCTCGTCTCGTCTCGTCTCGTCTCGTCGCGTCGCGTCGCAAATCCGTTTATCTCGGAGTCGAGGCGAGGCAAATTTCCCTCGTGTCGAAATCGTGTGCTTTTCAGAGGGCTTTGCGTATCTTTTCCCCTAAGAGAGGGAGGAGGACCACTCGCTGCTCCTCGGCTCCACGCTGCGCTTTACGAATTACGAATGTGGAATAACGGAGAAACGTTTATCCCCTGATTGCACTTTCTTTCGTATTCGTCCGCGCCATTCTCCGAGATATAAACTCGAGCTCTGCCTGCTCTCAAGTTCGTTGGGAACTGCGCACGAGCACGACTTCTTCTCCCTTGCTCCGTTAATTACGTATAATATATATTTCGTACGGTATTTCGTGTTATTTGCCAGCTGAAATCCATCGGGATTTCAAGTGCTCAACAGTCCGCGAGAGTGAATAGTTTCGAGTGCCGGCGTGTACCTTTATCCTCTCTGTTATTTTTCCATTTCTGTTATTTCTAAAGTTATTCTTTTTTATATATTTCATGTATCCCCTGGTCTCGGCATTTGCTTTCTAATAACAAATAAATACGAAGCTCTGGAAACGCTCACCGACTTCCATTGGTATTCACCAAATAACACTAAATATTATGTTAGCTTATAATTTGGCAAAAAGGAATCGTACAGTGAGAAACTCGGGCCTGTTTGAAAGCCTCTGTTTTCGAAATGCATCGTTCGATTTATTTTAAGACGATGCCTTTACATCATATACGTAGCGCTTTTCTTCCCAAAAATGTTACAAATTGTCACATCATGTATGTAAAAACGGTGGGAATTCTTTTTCGTGACTGAAAATGAACGAAAAAAAAAAAAGAAGTGAAAAAATGAATTTCTTCGTGTAAAGTTCGGGGATCTAGAGGTCTCAATTTTCGATCTCATTGCAGATTCAATGACGAGGAAAATTGTTCAACGTTCTTATATACTGCGTCAAGTTGTAGCACTTTCGAGAAAAGAAAAGCATCTTTCGCCGCGTGATGTAAAAGCAGCTTGGAATAAAACGAACGATGCTTTTTAGAAAAACAAAGGCTTCAAGCTGTAAGATGAGCCCAGCTTTATTGTCGCACGTCAATGTTTCTTTTTTTCCTTTTTCTACAAAATTACAACAGTTTGGATAGACTACTCGGTGTCCGAATATTAACGTTTCCGGTGCACATGGCATTCCGGAATAGTTCACTCGACACCGCCGCCTCGGCACACTCAACCGGCGTTAATTTACGAAATTTCGAACGGAGGAAGAATCGAACCATTTCCAAGCCCGAGTCGATACTCTGATATACCAGGCCAATGCGGGAAATGCGAGAGATTCCGTGTGCTTTCATCGTCCTTGATACGTTTCGAGTGTAAGTGCAAGCGCTTGTAAGACGAATCTTATACGTAGTTGGTATTGTTGCGAAGCTACGCTCGAGAACTCTCCGAGGGACTTCACTCGTGGAAAGTGTCGACGAGAACGGGCGGAGACAGTGCGGAAAGAAAAACAACCTATGTATACACCGAGTAAAGCCTACAAAGTCGCCATCTCTCTCTCTCTCTCTATTCACGTGGAACGGTCAATTAGCGATTGCTACCTTTAAGTCGATCCAACTAACCTCTTTAACCCCTTGCGCTAGCACGGACCATAACGAGTGACCAAATCGTATACGATAATTCGTCGCTTCCTTTTTGAACTCGTCGGTACGAAATTATTATTAATCATTATTTTTCTTGGGTTACATTTAAATATACTTAAAACTGAGAAAATATTGCAATTTTAATAAAATTAAAAAAAATAAATAAAAAGTTTCCACATGCGTGGCAAGAGGTTAACCTGAAAACTCCCAAAGTGGGGGTTTCTCGAGCTCAGATATATTTTTTTTTTATTTTCCTTTGCGAATGTGTAAGCATAACAGCAATCAATCTTTCGATACAATTATCGACAGATGACACTAAATTTTTAAACACTTCTTTCGTGCAAAAAATATTCAAACAATTATTTCTCATCGTATACATATACTCGGTCTCGTGTTGATTAATGCATGAGAAACACGTGCAAAGGGAAACAATACAAAGGCAAATAGAAGACGAACTTCTTTAGAGTTAGTTCGCAAACCAGTTGGAAATTAGTTAGAAAACAGCTCAAAAAAGAAGTTCGAATATAACTTAAACCTAAGCAAGTTTGTTTCAAATGTAAAAATTCTTTAATCACGCAGAAAACACCTTATATGTTACTCTGTCACTCATACGTAACATTCGGAAAATCAGACTCAAATTTATGCTGCAAGTGTGCGTTTTCAGAACACGTGTAAATGAAAATAAATTCAAGGCGAAAGTACATGTGTTTTTCTCGTCCTGATTTACAATGTATAATCAGGTGAAATTAACGTCAAAAGATAATATCTCTCAGGGTAAACAACGGGATATATATATATATATATGGATTCGACGAGTCTCCTCTTAAGAATTTACGAGTTTTGAGGTTAGTAACTCTGTTTACCTCATAACGTTGATTATTTTTCTAATTTTCCATTCTTCCTTCCACATGACTTTACAATGATTGAAAAGGTAATTTGATTAAATGGTGTCATGCCCAGAGAATAAGAATAAATTATCTTTGCGTCTTTCTTAAATTCGTTTAACGAGAAGAGACTTTTGTTCTCCACTTCTGGTTGCGCCAGATCTACATTAAAATTCTACTAGTTCAGGCGAGGATCAAGCGTTTTACAAACGCGAAACGTCATCTTTGTAAACTGTGAAAGACGAATAAGCCACTTGAAATCGTTATCTCTCAGTAACCAACCAAGATTATTTATTTACTTTCTAAATTCAGTATTCTTTAGTTTCTGCGAAATGGCCTAGAAGACACTCGACTAAAAAATTCCAAACTAGAAGTTATTTTCGCTGCAAAAGGAATTTAACGTGATAACAATAACACGATAACGCGTTAATCACGAATCATTTTTTGCTAATCAGTTGACTGGCGCGAAGCGTAAACAACTATTCGGCTAACGGTAAAAAAAAAAAAAATTATATCTATAAAAATATCAAGATAAGGTAGAGTGCTACAGAAAGCGATCGAGCTAGTGAATTGTAACGTTTCAACCGGATTCGCTCGATATATTGTACAACTGTCATAGTTCAACTGCTATTCAATACGAAAAGAGAACAGAGGGGCTAATTGCGAATTCACCTGTAGCTACTTGCCGGTAACTATGTACGTGTTTACATTACCGACCGATATTTAGCTCGAATTCCAACGAAATTTCAACGATCAAACGATATCACACGCGTTGCAAGACCAGCAAATTACGTTTCTCCATTGGAAAACCTGCGAACTATGCGGTTTCGTGTAACGAACGGAGAAATGAAAATGAGAACAAGTCAAAATACACGAACAACAAAGCCGGTAAATGAAAAAAGAAACGAGCGAATTACGACACGTACGCGCCTCCGTTTGCGACAAAATGAACTGTAGAAAATTTTATTTACATTGAATCTATCATTCAGCAGAGCCGCGAGCTGTGCATTCATGATTTCGAATTGTCAATGGACAAATCAAGCTTTCAATGGATATACGATTTCATCAACAACACCAACAGCATTGTCAATCATTTGTATCTTATGGACGGGATACAAAAGAAATTACTTTTACCAAATGTGGGAATGTGAGATCGCTGTTCCAACATTCGTTGCCAGAGTAACTTTAGTATATTCACGTGCCAACATAGTATCCCCAAATTTCATCTTGACAAAAGACCGACCAGTTATTTTCAACGAGTCCCTTCAAAACATTAGTTCGTCCTCCAGTAACTCAATCCAGTCGAGCAGAGAAAACTTGAGTCTTCAATTGGTCGAACACATCGGGCCAATGTAAATAGAAGATGTAAAGATAAGAAAAATATGAAAAGAATTTTTTATGAAAAGCCAAATCAAGATGGAAAAAAATCTGAAATAGAGAATGTCTTATGACGAAAGGCAGAATTTTTCAAAATTGAAAACAGAAAAAGTCTTCGAGAAGTCGAATTCTGAAATGGCAGAAATTTCTTCTTCTCTTACTTTCGTTTTTCAAATCAAATTAAAAGTTCCACGTTTGTGTAATAATCCTCTCCACCATACGCCTGTACGAGTATTTTGAAAACATCTACTTGGAGTCTTTCGATTTTGAATTCAAACCTGGAAAACTGCAAAACGATATGCGTTTGTGTATATATTCTTCAAGAAAAAAGAAAGAAAGAAAAGGAAAAATAGAAAAAGTTTGGAAAACGTTGACGACGGTGGGAAAAAATCTTGCACGGTAGCGTCGTAACGATACCTTGCTACGAAATACTAAGTACACTCGACCGCCTTTGAAACCGGTATAAAAAGGCCGAGCGACAGGCCACTGGAACACACTATTAAATAGGCCGCGAACTGCTACGAAGGAAATGATTAATCACCGCGAAACCATCTTCTCGCCTTAAAAATTACTCACAAGACGAATGCGATCAATTGATATCCTCCTGTGCAATATTGCTTCTAATTCACACTCGCGATATCATCGAGAAAGGGAAAGTAATTCGCCATTTTATTTTTAACTTTTCCTTGCAAGTATAATCTTAACCTAATAATTTTCGTCTTTCCTGCGTATATACATCAACACATTTGTTACTCGTAGTAACATTGGAAGTAATTCGCCATTTTATTTTTAACTTCTTCTTATCAGTATGATCTTAACCTTATTCTCATTTTTCTTATGCACATGCAGTAACACATTTGTCTCCATCTCCTTATATTTGCTATTTTATTCTAATAATATTTGGCTTATAATTACTATATAACTACTTGTATAAGTGTAAATCCTAAATAATTATAAAATCCATTTAAGTTGAACAGCTTTTCCTGTTATTTGAAAATGAGGTTATGTTGTATATTGCTTCCTTCTATTATTTCATGTAACAACACTTGTGCGTAATGTATTATCAAACAAACAATCAATAAAATAATTCATTACATACATACATTCACAGATTTGTTTCTATCTCTTTGTTTTAATGATACTTAACAAATATCATATAATTATTTGTGCAAGTACAAATTCTAAATGCTCATAAAATTATTATATCCATTTAAACTTTTTCTGTCATTCGAAGATGAGGTTATGTTGTATATTATTTCCTTCTGTTTTGTCACTTTAAGCAATAAAAGTTGTGGGTAGTGCATTGCCAAACAAACAAATGATAAAATAGTTTATTACGCACCATTGTAAAGTTAATAAAGTTAATAAAGAAGTTAAAACATTAGACTGTCTTCAAAACGAAGCGCTATATTGGCTTATTATGACACGACTACTCGATTATTTCTTATTTTGATTATTTCACAGTGATAATATTAAAAGAAAGTTAAATAACTTGCTTCAATTTATTTAGTAAAGTGAATCATTCTTTGAAATGTGGCAGTTTAGTAAGTTTCAACCTAAATGATAACATGTATCAACTAGCAAACATGGAAAAGTGGTTAAAATCAAAATATTTTATCAAAGATCTATCTTGATTTAACAAAAAACTTGTTATCTGATCACTGTTACATCAAATGTGCACGTTACTGACAGATACCTTCTACGATGCAAACTTTGAAATTGGGCAACTTTATAAGGTACTGACTTTGAATATGCACAGTGATCCTTCATACATTAACCAAAATAGGTATCACAAGTCAAAATGATTAGTTTTTTACTTGGGTTAAAAGCACATTTACTT